GATAATTTATTTGAAGCTGCGGATTCGGGTGACGTTTTAGCTCATCCGCGCATCACTAACGCACAGGCTGTGTGTATCCCCACTCGTGATATAACGTTTTCTTTGGGCAGGGAGGAACACACAACCTACAACGTGGCTTGCTCTCGCCCTTGAAATGCTTTGTCTTTGCATGAGCTTAGACATAGCTGGAGCTTATAGACTTTCACAATTGACAGACAACAATAAATATGACTGACACACACAGAGCGCTTCGCTGAATGACAGAAAGCTGATGCTGGCTCCGCCGCACGTGCTTTTATAGCTTCCTGGTCATGACGTCACCCGCCCGTGACGTCCCGCTCAGCTATTGGACTGATTTCACATTTTATTCAGAGCGTGGTCACAGAAGGCGTTCCCCTAGCGTTTCCGACGCAGCTCGAGTTCCTGAAGAGGAACTTCTCTCAGTTAAAGTTAAATGTTTTATTATTATTATTCAAACTTTTGACCGGTAGTGTAAGTTATTGATTATTTAAATTGATAATATCTATAAATATCTATTTATTTTATTGTCAGACTCAATTCTGAAGCCTCGGACTATTTGGATTATAAACAGTGGCACGGTTGTGTAGCCTAATGCTGTTGTAGGTCAATCCGCATTTATGGAGTTCACCGAAGGCTAATGTAGGCTACAGACTAATTCAAAATCATTAAATCACTCTGGTAAAATCAATTCAGAGATAGAAGGAAAATGAGCCTTTAATTAGTGCCAGTCTAATGTCTGGACCACATGACACCCTGAAGTTATTAGGGGTGTTTACATTTTAATAATATACATTTCATCCTTATACAGTATAAAATTTAACTAAGCTGTTTGCAGCAAAAAGTCACAGTATTCACAATATGTGTTTTATATGGTTACAGAGTCGTATTTATTTATGTATTCAGCATTAAAAAGTCCTAAACAGGGTGCAGCAAAGGGGGGTTGTAGACCCCTAATTACATTTTGATCGCCCTCCTGATAAGTACAGTGTATGCGCTGTAGGAGATTTATTTACTACTATTTTGTTTTAAAAAGTTTTAAATAATGTAGTTGAGCAGAAAACCAAAACTTCCTTTAAAACGGGACACTCCTATAAACAATAAACTAGAAGAACAACTGTTTACACCACTCCACATTCGTGTCCTCTTTTTGGCCATTAATGAGAGTAAATGTGTTTGTTCGCTGGGTCGATATAAGTTGCTTTATTTCCGACTCGGCTCTATGCCATTTAGTATGCACTTAAGGTAATGGAAAGCAGGAGAATATCATGGGAACCCTGTAGTCTGCTGTTCAGCCAATCGCGAGCGGCTGGATTATGCCTCAAAACCTTTTAATACCACTGTTCACTAATGATCCGGACCCGCAGCCCTTTAATCCCCACTACATTAATTAAAAAGAGCACGAGCCCTTGGAAGATCATGCCATCTGCTGCAGTTTCATTCCATAGACAGATTGTGTTTGGTGCTTATTTAAAACAGAATGTATTTACTTGTCAAGGAAAGCAGGAGGAATGAGAAAGGAGTAAGATTGCAGGAATTACATAGGGAAGAAACTAGAGTTCTTCTGAAATATGTTGAACAGAATCGTTGTTTCGTAGCTTCTTGTAACCCACCACAAAAATAGCCATAATGTTAAAGATTAGTCTGAATATTAAAGGGATAGTTCACCCAAAAATTTGAATTTTGTGATCATGTACTCACCCTCAAGTTGTTCCAAACCTGTATTTGTTTCTTTCTTTTGTTAAACACAAAAGGAGATATTTCGAAGAATGTTGGTAATCAAACAGTTGACGGTAGTCATTGGCTTCTTGGTTAACTTGGTCAACTACAGCATATATATATATATATATATATATATATATATAGGGTTAAAGGTAAGGTTATTTTAAGGTGTCATTTTTAAAGTGTAATTATACATTTAAGTACTGAGTAATATAAACTAAGGTTAGGATTATGGTTTGGCTTAGATTTAGTAATTATGCCTAATTTAATGTTATTACTATAGTAAATAGTCTACATATATAACAAGGACACTGTAAAATATAGTGTTACCAAATGTAATCCTCACTTTTTATATCTGAACCAATATCAAAAATTGTCTTAAGGTTAAGGCCTAGGTGTGTTTTTGTGTTTGATGCTTATTGCAGAACTGGGATGAAATGGTTTGTTGGCCCATCTTTTCTCATTTCTTCATTTCATACATTTTTGACTGAGGTTTTTAGCATTTAAACACGTTGAAAACTGTGAGTTAAATAACTGGATTAAGTATTCAAGGTTTAATTTATGGTAAATTACAGAATTAATCATAAAAACGAGATCTTTGAAAACCATTCAGTAATACAAATGTCACTGTTTAATGTAATTATGGTTAACAAGAGAATGGGAATTATAAGTAATACTTTTTTATTTAATATAAGGAATTACTATATATAACAATAAATAATTTTGAAATCGAATGTTATGTATTAAAAAAGGAAGGCACAATAAAGTATATATAAAAATAGTGTTTAGCGTTAAGTCGACGATTACTGTCATGAGGCACCTTTCCTCTCCAACACACTGGTCCCATTCCACCTCCACCCCTCCTGGCTCTCTCATCCAAACACACTCACACTCTCTCACTCTTGCGCAAGTGCCACTGGCCAAAGGCGCGCGCTCTAGTGCTTAAGTACGAGGTTCACTTCAATATCATTAGCGTGCTCATTCTCTCTCGAAATGTTGCTGTGCGTTTGGGTGGGTTTTTGTCCACCATTGTAAATCTTTAATTATGAGTGTTTTGTTTGGTCGTTCATTTGAAGGCACACATTAAGAAGGAGCCTATATTTCAATGGAGCTGTGGATACGGACATGGCAGGTATCCTGCCTGGCGCTCATGATGTTGGATGTAGTTCTAGCACAGATTCGTTACACGATCCCAGAGGAACTGGAGCACGGGGCTTTTGTTGGAAATATTGCGGAGGATCTGGGACTAGACACCAGCAAACTCTCAATCCGACGATTTAGAATAGTCTCAGGGGCGAAACGGCCATATTTGGAGGTGAATTTAGAAAACGGGGTTTTATTTGTCAATGAAATAATTGATCGAGAAGAGTTGTGCGAACAAAATCCATATTGTTCATTCCATCTCCAAGTTGTGATCGAAAACCCATTAGAATTGTATAGAGTGGAAGTTGAAATACTAGATGTCAACGACAACACTCCGGTTTTTCCATGGAGTGAATTTAACCTGGATATCTCCGAATCGGCCGCTCCTGGATCGCGCTTCCCACTGGAAAGCGCGCAGGACCTGGACGTCGGTGACAACTCTCTTCGCTCGTATCTGCTGAGTGTAAACGAACACTTTGTCCTGGATGTCCAGACGCGCAGCGACGGCAGTAAATTCGCAGAACTGATCCTCGAAAGTCCGCTGGACCGGGAGCAGCAGAAGACTCACCTGATGGTTCTTACAGCGGTGGACGGAGGCTCGCCAGAGAGATCGGGCACTGCGCAAATAAACATAACGGTGCTGGATGCCAACGACAACGCGCCTGTGTTCGATCAGAACTTTTATAAAGTGAGGCTGGCAGAAAACGCGCCGAGAGGCACAGTCGTTATAAAACTAAACGCCACTGATCTAGATGAAGGACCCAATGGAGAAATCACGTACTCTTTTAGCGGCCACGCTCCAATGAGAGTGCGCGAGCTGTTCAGCGTGGATCCCCGCACTGGAGAAATCAAAGTAAAAGGACTTATAGATTATGAAAAGGCACGGATGCATGAAGTTTACGTACAAGCCAAAGACAAGGGACCGTCAGCTGTGGCGGTGCACTGCAAAGTTATGGTTAACATTATAGACGTCAACGACAATCTTCCAGAAGTGATTCTTACATCAGTATCCACGCCGGTTCAAGAAGACGCGCCACCTGGCACAGTGATAGCAGTCATTAGCGTAATGGATAAAGATTCTGGAGAAAACGGAAATGTTGATTGTGAAATTTCTCATCACGTTCCCTTTCAGCTACATTCCTCTTTTAAAAACTATTACACGTTAGTTACGTGTGATTTTCTGGACAGAGAATCCATTTCAGAGTACAATATCACTCTCACGGCGCGTGATATGGGCTCACCGCCGCTTTTTACTAGGAAAACAATTTTAGTGCAAGTGTCTGACATCAACGATAACGCGCCGCGTTTCAAACAGCCCTCCTACACGATCTACCTGACCGAAAACAACGCGCCAGGAGCCTCGATTTGCACCATCACCGCTCAAGACGCAGACGCGGATCAGAATTCCTACTTGTCCTACTCTATTCTAGAAAACGACATCCATGGAATGCCGGTGTCCACATACGTGTCCATCAACTCAGATAACGGCAACATTTACGCACTGCGCTCTTTTGACCATGAGCAGCTCAGAAACTTTCAGATCGTGGTTCAAGCCGAAGATGCTGGTTTTCCGCCTCTCCGCGCGAACGTAACAGTCAACGTGTTTGTTTTGGACCAGAACGACAACCCTCCGGTCGTTGTATCCCCGTTGCCCGAGAATGACACCGCGACGGTTGTAGTTGTCCCCAGATATGCTGATGCCGGGTACCTAGTGGCTAAAATCACCGCCATGGACGCGGACGCCGGGCAAAACTCGCGTCTCTTTTATGAAGTCCTCCAAGCTACAGATCTCAGTTTGTTCAGTGTCGCTCTGTACACCGGGGAGATCAGGACAATTCGCCGCCTGATGGACAACGACCCCAGGAGGCAGAGGCTGGTGGTTTTGGTCAAGGACAACGGTCAGCCGCCGCTCTCGGCCACGGCCTCCATCATGTTGTCAGTTGTTGACAGCGTGCCAGGATCCTTGTCTGATTTTGGTGACCTCGCGCTCAGCCCCCAGTACCGGTCAAACCTCACGCTGTATTTAATCGTATCTCTGGGCGCCGTTTCATTCACGTTTCTCGTGGCTATTATTGTCCTGGCTACAATTAAGGGATTGAAGGACAGGAGCTCGTGCTGTGGATTTTATTCTAAGGACCCCGCCACTGACGTCGTTAAAAAGTCTAACTTGAACATTCACATATCACCGGGATCAAAGGGACCCACGCAATGCGTGGAAGTAAACGGGAACAACCCAATAGGTCAAAACTACTGCTATAAAATGTGTCTGACTCCAGAGTCATCTAGAAGTGACTTCATGTTCCTCAAGCCTTGTAGCCCCACGGGAACATCTTCCCGAAACAATATAAAGGAAATAGAAAACAAATCTTTGACCTGGAGTCCAGCCAGCCACAGTCTTGGTACCAGATATGGAACGACCTCTCCAAATGAAGTAAGTGATCAACAAAAATGATCTCAAGTTTGTCCACTAGATGGAGACTTCAGATACTTGTTGTGCTTTAATCACCCCCAGGATAACAACATGTAAATAATAGCATGTAAATTGTAATGTAATTGAAAAATACATAAAAAAATATATTTGGAAATGCCAGTGTACGAACTACACGAATGACAACAACAACAGTATATGTATACAGTATGTACAGTATGTATACATTAGGTACAGAACATAGCAATTCTGTTTTAAATAAATGTATCAATAATTACTGATGTAATTAAAATAATTATTCTACCTTTGAGCTATACTCTGTATTCATTGTTATTGGCTATTTAAAATATATTAGATGAAATCTCTTAATACATATTATATTAAATTTAATATAATAATGTCCAATTCTAATGGCTAATAATAAACTAATAATAATATAATTTATGTCATTATAATAATAGTACTATTTTGATAGTATTATTCAGAACAGCAGTGACATTAATTATTATGCAAACAGAATTGTTTGTTTCATTGTGTTATTCTAGCTTATAATATAATATAATATAATATAATATAATATAATATAATATAATGGTCCATAATAATAAATAATAATAATATATAAATATAATGTAAATAATAATAATAATAATAATAATAAATCATAATTTAATAAAATAATATTTGTATTATTTGCTGAACAACAGTGAGGTTAACTATTTAAAGGGGTCATATGATGCGATTTCAAGTTTTCCTTTCTCTTTGGAGTGTTACAAGCTGATTGTGCATAGATAAGATCCCTGAAGTTGCAAAGACTAAAGTCTCAAAACCAAAGAGATATTCTTTATCAAAGTTAAGACTCTGCCACGCCCCCCTAAAACGGCTCGTTCTAACACGCCCCCACATATCTACCACACTATATGGAAATATTTGCATAATGCCACCCAAATGTTCA